GGTTTGGGAGAATCTGAGTTGGGAGGAGGAGGCGGAGGACATACAGGAAGAGGAGCCATACCAAGATGATGAGGATGTGTAGGATGGGATTTCGGATGGTGGAATGTGAGTGGGGGAGTAGGGGTCAGGAAGCGGAGGACGGGACACTGGATGAGTATAAGGAGGGCGGGAGAGAGAGAGAGAGAGAGAGAGAGAATGGCACCCACACAATTGTACACATACACATAGATTGTGTACACACATGCATGTACGCACCCACATACATGCATACATACATGCGTATGTACATACACATACGTACACATACATCCATACATTCATCTGAACACATACGTACACACATTCATATACACATATAAACATACATTCATACACACATACATACATACATACACATACACATACTGACATACTTGCATACATACTTGACTACGTACACACCTGCCTACCTACATACAAACATACGCACATACATACATACACACATACACATACACACATTCACACACATACAAGCATACTAACACACAACCATATATGCATCCATACATACACACACATACGTTCACATACATACATGCATGCATACATGCATACATACACATGTACACACATACACACATACATACACACATGTATATATTTATGTCTTTAATCGCTGCATGTATGTATGAATGAGTGCATGCATGAATGCATGCACGTATGTATGTAAGTGTGTACTTATGCTTGTTTGCATATATGTATACTTATGTAAATGTGAATATATGCATGCACACTTGCATGCATGTACGCATGTATGCATGTACGTATGTATATATCTACGTATGTTTGCACACACACACATAAATATACATACATACATACATACATACATACATACATACATACATACATACATACATACATACATAAATACATATATATATATATACATATCGGATGTCAGTGGGTGGGATCGGAGTGGAACTGAGAGCCCCCCACCGGGAAGTCGGTTTCGGTTTCGGGTCCGTGCCGCGCGTGCGTGCGAGGCGAAGCTGCGCGGGCGCGCGGGAGGAATGCTGCCGCCGTGGCCAGGGGCCGTGGAGCGGGCTGTCCGCCCCCCCTCCCCCCCCGCGCGCGGTGGCCGGGGGTTTCCCGTCGGTGGTCCCGTCGGTGGTCCCGTCGGTGTCCCGTCGGTGCCCCGTCGGTGTCCCGTCGGTGCCCCGTCAATCTCCCGTCGGTGTCCCGTCAGTGTCCTGTTGGTGTCCCGTCGGTGTCCCGTCGGTGTCTCGTCGGGGTCCCGTCGGTGTTCTGTCAGTGTCCCGCCGGTGTCCCGTCGGTTCCCCGTCGCTTTCCCGTAGTGAGATCGATCGTGAGATCGACATCGACTTCGATAGTAAGACCGATATGGAGATCGATAGTGATAGCGATAGTGATATGGATGGTGGGACCGATAGTGAGATCGATAGTTCGGTCGACAGTGAGGTCGATTGTGAGGTCGATTGTGAAATCGATGTTGAGATCGATAGTGAGATCGATAGTGAGATCGATAGTGATATCGATCGTGAGACCGATTGCGAGATTGATACTGAGATCGATCGCGAGATCGATTGTGATGTCGATTCCAAGATCGATAGTGATGCGCAGACTGAGATACATGGTGAGATCGGTAATGGGATCGATAGTGAGACCGATTTAGTGAGACGTTGGTTCCTCCCGAACCTCCTTATCACACGAAGGGTGGTCGTATAGGTATGTCCAATGGCCTTCGGCCCATCCCGCCACCGTGCCTGGGTTGTGGATCAGAGTTCTCAGGGATGCTTCTTCGCGTCTCTTCGGAGCGATCTCGGGGGCCTCTTGGGAGCAGTTGGTGGGTGTCATGGGAGCCTCTTGGGGGCCTCTCGGGGGCCTCTCTGGGGCCTCTTGGGGGCCTCTTGGGGCCTCTTGGGGTCCCCTTGGGGCCGAGGGCTCGAAATGTCCGTTCGGGTTCCCCATCTGGACCCCCTGTTGGGGCCGTTTTTGGGCCCTCTTAGGCCGTCTTGGGCGCCTCTTGGACAGTCTTGGAGCCCTCTTGGGCCGTCTGGGCGTCCTCTTGGGGGCCTCTGGGGCCGTCTTGAGGCGATCTTTGGGGCCTCGTGGGCCGTCTTGGAGCGTCGGGAAACCGAAAAGCGCGAATGCTGAACTCCTTCAAAACCGCAGGAACATTTATGATTTGTGCCTCTTGGGGCCCTCGTGGGGGTGCTGTTGGAGGCCTCTGGGACCGTCTTGGACGTGTCTGGGGCCGTCCCGAGGCTATTGTCAACGTATTTGAGCTATGTTTGGGCAAGTCGGGGCTCTCTTGGACCGTTGTGGGCGGGCACAGCGTCCAGAGGACTTGCAGGAAACACGCCAGAACTCAACGGAGGCAGCCTGGGAGACCCCGGGACGCCCCAGGACGGCCTGGGAAACGGTTGATGCGGGCATTTGCAGACTTACTATTCTGGTTGTGGCAGCAGCACAGCCTCGACCTCTCGGTGTTGCATGAGCCTTGGGGCATTCCACTGCGTGTCATAGGAACGGTGGCCGATATATCGTGATAAAGGGGCTACTACAATGATATATGGTTAAAGGGACGTGAATACATGCGTAGAGAGAGCGTGTGTGTGATAGAGAGTGAGGGGGGGAGAAAGAGAGAGAGAGAGAGAGAGAGAGAGAAAGAGAGAAAGGAGAGAAAGAGAGACTAATACCGACACATACGCACACACATATATATCTATATATGTATATGTGTGTGGATATGGAGGCATTGGCTATGTATGTATGTATGTATGTATGTATGTATGTATGTATGTATGTATGTATGTTTCGACGCATGTATGTATGTATGTATGTATGTATGTATGTATGTATGTATGTATGTATGTATGCATGCATGCATGCATGCATGTATGTATGTATGTATGCGTGAATTAATGTATGCATGTATGCATGTTTTGTTGTGTATGTATGTATGCATGTATGCATGCATGCACGCATGTCGGTAGGTAGGTCGGATATAGATAGGTAGGCCTGAAGGTATGTAGGTATGTAGATATGTAGACATGCGTGCATGCATCTATATTTATATTTACTTATATATGTATATATATATGTACTTATGTATGCATGTCTGCATGTCTGCATGCATGCACGTATGCATGTCTTTTCATGGGTATATATATATGTATGTATGCATGCATGTATGCATGTCTGTCTGTCTGTTTGTCTGTCTGCCTGTCTGTTTGTCTGTTTGTCTGTGTGTCTGTTTGTCTGTGCGTCTGTTTGTCTATGTATGTATGTATGTGTGTATGTATGTAGGTAGATACGCATGTAGGCATTTATGTATGTATATAAGTACGTATGTATGTATGCCTGCCTGCATGTATGCATGTATTTATGTATGCATGCATGCATGCATGCATGCATGGGTGTACGTATGCATGTATGTAAGTATGTATGTATGTATGTATGTATGTATGTATGTATGTATGTACGTACGTATGTATGTGTATGCGTACATGCATGCATGTACGTATGTATGTATGTATGTATGTATGTATGTATGTATATATGCATGTATGTATGTACGTACGTACGTACATATGTATGTATGTATGTATGCATGCATGGGTGTATGTATATATGCATGCATGTATGTATGTATGTATGCATGTATGCATGCATGTATGTATGTCTGTATGTATATATTTGCAAATGTAGTCATACACACATCTATATATAACTGTTGCGAACGATATACAACGGTGATGAGGAGGAGAGTGGCTTACGGAGGATGAGGTAAGACGAGAATGAATATATGGAGGCCTGGGAAGGGGGTGGGGATGAGGAGGGATGTGACCCGTGCCATTCAGGGACGTCTGATTCGGAATGAGTGGTATGGGAGGACGCGGAGAAGAGGACCAGAGTACACCGAGGATTGGCCAACGATGCTGCGGCACACCCTCCCACTCCGAGTCCCCTGCTGGTGAAGCTCTACGAACTGCTCTCTTCGGGCGCAGGAGGCGCCCCCTCTCGAAGGATGGGCGCCCATTGTCCGGGTCATTGGGGGCGAGGGCCCGGTTTTCAAAAGGGACTCGCTGTGCATCGTCTTCGGTGAGGGATCAGGGATGCGACAGGCTGGAGTCGTACAGTTCAAGGGCGATTTCCAGCGAGAGCCCCGCTTTGAACGAGAACGGGTCCCCCGCCTTTGCGAGCGTCGCACACAGGCAAGCGTTTGGTGGCAAAATTTTGGGACGTCGGAAGCGACAGCCCCATTCGGAAAGCGAGCCGCCCTCCATCCGTGCAGCCGGTTCATGTCTTCAAGCTTCCAGGCTGCCCTCCAACCCTGGCAGCGGTTGCGCGCCTTCAAGGCGAATGCTCGCTTCGCTAAGACCAGAGCCCCCGTGTGGAAAAGGAGCCGTTCTCGCCGTTGCATTTGTTGCCAGCCTCTGGAGCCGAAGTGAATTGTCAAGCGAAGCGCCCGATCGGGCCTACAGTCACGTCCTGTTGTGCGGCAAGAGGAGGCCTTTATAAGGAGGAAAGGTGGAGGCGACAAAAGAGGAGGACGAGCAACAACAAAAAAAGAGGAGGACGAGCGGCAGTTGTCTTCAAGAAACCGCCGTCTGTGACAGCAGACGTCGTCCTGTCTGTCCGGTAGGGCAAGTCTTGGACGCCCGGCGTGAGGGAGGGGCAGATCGCCATACCCTTCTGTCGCACAGGGCGCATACGATTCTCCAGCTTGAGCGTATGTGAGACGACAAGAGGGGGAGAAAGGAGGATGAGGAGGATTTGGGAGGAGGGAGAGTACGAAGAGGGGGGATATGAGGGGGTGAAGGAAGAGGAGGAGGGGAGAAAATGGAGGAGGGATGTACGGGGAGGAGGAGGAGGGAGAAAGGAGAGAGGAAGGACAGAGGAGAGAATTAGGGATAAAGGAGGGAAGATGAAAAGGGAATGCGGAGGGCAGAAAGCGGCACCGAGTCGGCTCGCCCAGCCACTTTGCGCAGGGCGGTGCCAAGAAGGTCATCATCTCCGCGCCTCCCAAGGACGGCGTCCCCATGTTCGTGAGCCGGGGGAGGGGATGAGCAGGTATAATGAAAGGAGGACGGGGGGCAGGATCAGGAGTAAAGAGCAGCAGGACGAGAAACCATTCGGAATGATGTGGAGTGAATATGAGGAGGAGGAGGAGGATGAGGCGGAGCCAGATGAATGGAGGAGGAGGAGGAATACGCCAGACGAGGAGCAGGAGGAGCCGTCGGAGGAGGAGGGGGAGTGAGTCCTCCTCCGACGGCTCTCCTCCTTCTCCTCCTCGTCCTTGTCCTCCGTGCCCCCCCCGCTCTCACTCCCCACTTCTCCTTCTGCTCTTCTCTGGGAGGGGCATTGGTGTGGTTTCGGCGGGGCAGAGTACGAGCGGACATCTACACGGGTGCGCATTGATTTCGGGAAACTTGGAGTGGCCTCCGGCTCAGCCTGTCACCGTGCCTGAGCTGTGGAGCAGAGGCCTCTTGGATGCCTCTTGGGGCCTCTCGGAGGGCCTCTTGGGGGTTCTTGTAGGTGGGCACATCTGTTTGTTCGTGTATTTGTGTTTATGTACGTATGCCAGCCTGCCTTCTGCATGTCTGTATGTAAGCATGTCTTATGCATGCATGTATGCATGTATGTATGTACGCAGGTAGGTTTATATGTAAATGTATACGTGTGTATGCGCGTGTTTGCGCGTGTAAGGTTGTGTTTGTATGTGCATGTCTACATGTGCGCAACTATGCATGTATTTGTATGCCTGCATATATGCATGAATGTGTTTGTATGTATGTTTGTAGATTCATGCGTGCATGAAGGTAATCATGCATGCACGCATGCATGCGTGCATACATGTATATGTATGTATGCATGCATGTACGCATGCATGCGTGTATGTATGTCTGTCTGCCTGTCTGTCTGTCTGTATGGATGTATGTATGATTGTTCTGTATGCACGCATGTTTTGTATACAGGCACTGATGCATGTGTGTATGCATGTATGTACGTACGTATGAATGTATCCACGCATGCATGCATGCATGTCGGTATGTACATATTCATATTTGTTTGCATGCATTTCTGTGTATATATGTATGCATGCATGTATGTATGCATGCATGCATGTATGTATGTATGTGTGTGCGTTCGTGTGTGTCTGTATGCATGCATGCATGTAGGAAGGTAAGTAGGCATGCATGTATGTATGTATGCAGGTATGCATATAGGACTATGTGTATACATGCATCTATGTATGTTTGTCTGTGTGCCCGTCGGTCTGTCTGTCTGTCTGCCCGAATATATGCATGCATGCATGCACGCATGCATGCATGTACGTATGTATGCACGTATGTGAGTGTGTGTCTGTATGTATAGACGTCTGCCTGTCTGTATGTATGTATATATGCATGTACGTACGTACGTACGTGTGTATGTATGTATGCATGCATGCATGCATGTATGTATGTATTAGTGTTTATGTATGGATGCATGTAGGTAGGTAAATAGGCATGTATGTATCTGTATGCATGTATGTACACATGCATGCGTGTATGCATGCATGTCTGTCTTTCGGTCTGTCTCTCTGTCTGCCTGTCTGTGTGTTTGAATGTATGTATGTACGTATGTATGTATGCTTTTGTGTGTGTCTGTCTGTCTGTCTGTCTGTCTGTCTGTCTGTCTGTCTGTCTGTCTGTCTGTCTGTCTGTCTGTGTGTGTGTGTGTGTGTGTGTTGTGTTTGTGTGTATGTATGCATGCATGCGTGCATGCATGCACGCATGAATGTTTGCCAATGTGCATGTTTTGTATACATTTGTGCATATACATACACATACATACACACATGTATACATTTGTGTGTATATAGATATGTCAACATGCGTACGCATTTATATTCTAGACGCTTCGTGTTATCCCACCAGCCCATCCAGAAACGATGCCTAGAGGAGTTGCCTCGATGCGGAAAGTGGGCAGCACACAGAGGAAGGGTCCCCTAGTGGAGGCCTCTTGGAGTGTCTTGGGGGCCTCTTGGCGGTCCCGGACGCCTCTTAGAGCGTCTTGGGTGCCTCGGAGAGCTTCTTTGGGCCTCTTGGGGGTCTATTGGGAGCCTCTTGGAGGCCTCTTGGGCACCTGTTGGGGCCTTCTGGGGTCTCCTGGGCGCCTCTTGGGGCCCTCTTGAAGCGCTCCTGGGAGCCTTGGGAGCGCTCTTGGGGCCATCTTGGAGGACATCGATCAAACAAGAGGGGAGCATTACTTAGCGTTGCCCCTCGGTAGCCCAAAAAGTCGCCTCTTGGGGCGCTCTTGGGGCGCTCTTGGAGCGCCCTTGGGCGCTCTTGGGGCCGTCTTGGGGCTCTCTTGAGCCTCTCTTGGTGCCCTCTTGGGCCATCTTGGAGCCATCTTGAGGCCTCGGATGGCCATCGGAAGCGACAAGGCGAGAAAGCAAAAAACATGGATTTTCCATAGGTTTTGGAAGGATTTGGGCCTCTTCGGGGCCTCCCGGGGGAGCTCTTTGGCCACTTGGAGCCGTCGTGGAGCGGTCTTGGAGTCTCTTGGAGCATCGTGGGAGCCATCTTGAGGCATCTTGGGATATCTTTAGCCATCTTGGAGGTCATCTTGGGCTCTCCCAGGCGCTCTTGGAGTCATCTTAATGAGTGTCCCCCCCCAGGAGGCCAACATGTGGCCAACACCTCAGTGAAATCAATGATTTCGGCATGCTCGCCGAGGCCTCTTGGAGCGTCTTGGGTGCCTCTGGGGGGCCTCTTGGGGCCTCTGTTATGAGCCTCTTGGGGGCATCCTGGGGGCCGCTTGGGGCCTCCTGGCCACCTCTTGGGGCCCTCTTGGGGCACCCTTGGGAGTCTTGGGGACCATCTTTGGGCCATCTTGGGTGAGATCCTCTTGGGGGAGCACCCTTGGGAGTCTTGGGGACCATCTTTGGGCCATCTTGGGTGAGATCGATCAGAGGAGGGGAGCTCCCCAATTAGCCCCCCCCCCCGGCGGCAAAAATGGGGCCAAAACCTGAAACACAAATATCCCAGTGCGACCCTACCTAGGAGTTGGAGCCCCTAGGGAAGCAGCATTAGTAGTAACAGTAAAACTAAGCTAAAGCTGAGCTGAAGCTAAGCTGAAGCTAAGCTAAAGCTAAGCTGAAGCTAAGCTGAAGCTAAGCTAAAGCTAAGCTAAAGCTAAGCTAAAACTAAGGTACATCTAAGCTAAATCTAAGTTAAAGCTAAGCTAACGCCAAGGTAAAGCTGAGCTAAATCTAAACTAAAGCTAAGGTAAAGCTAAGCTAAAGCTAAGCTAAATCTAAGCTACAGCTAAGCTAAATCTAAGCTAATTCAAAGCTAATATGAAGCTAAGCTAAATCTAAGCTAAATATAAGCTAACGTTAAGCTACAGCTAAGCTAAAGCTAAGTTAATGCTAAGCTAAAGCTAAGCTGAAGCTAAGCTGAAGCTAAGCTAACGCTAAGCTGAAGCTAAGCTGAAGCTAAGCTAAAGCTAAGCTATTTCTAAGCTAATTCTAAGCTAATTCTAAGCTAAAGCTAAGGTAAAGCTAAGCTAAAGCTAAGCTAAAGCTAAGCTAACGCTAAGCTAAATCTAAGCTAAAGCTACACTGAAGCTAACCTGAAGCTAAACTGAAGCTAAGCTAAAGCTAAGCTAAAGCTAAGCTAAAGCTAAAGCTAAGCTAAAGCTAAAGCTAAAGCTAAAGCTAAAGCTAAAGCTAAAGCTAAAGCTAAAGCTAAAGCTGAGACTAAAGCTAGAGCTAAAGCTAAAGCTCCCAGGGGACTGGGGGAATCGCGGGGCGGATACTGGGGGAACCGCCCAGGGCGGTTTCCACTGCCCGGCCCCTTTGAAAAGAGAGTAAGAACACTCTAGGCAGAGCCTAGGTAGGGAACCAATGATTTTGGCTTCCTCGCCGACGCCGTTTTGGACGCTCCAACTGCCCGCGGAATTCCTCCCAGAAGGGGAAGAAGGGGGTTGGAAGAGGAAGCTCCCTAGACCACGTACGCCCTAAAGGGCTGGTGGGATTGATAGGCAACGTTGTTCCTTCCCCATCCCGAAGTGGAATTTATCCAACCTTTCTTCGCGCTGTAAGGGAACATACCTGCTCCTTGGATTCCTCTCGCTTCGCGGGGTGTACGCCCAGAGTTTGTAGAGTAGGTGCGTTTTGGCTCTCCTGGGAGCCTTTCGGAGGACTCTTGGGGCCTCTTGGTGACATTGGGGCTGCTGGGGTTTTGTTGGGAGCCTGTTGGGGCGTCTTCGGCGTCTCAGGCCGACTTCGGGCGCTCTTGGCCCGCGTGCCGCCTTCGGAGGCCGTCTTGGGGGCCTCTCTGGGCCGTCTTGGTGCCTTCTTTGGGCCTCCAGGGGGCGTTTTGGGGGTCTCTTGGGCCGTCTTCGGGCCCGCCTGGGTCGTCTTAGGGCTATTGGGGGCCTCTCTGACCACCTTGGGGCCCTCTTGGGCCGTTCTGGGGGCCCCCTTGGGGGCTTCTTGTGCTGTCGCGCGGCCATCAGGGCTGTCTTGGGGTGTCGAAAGCCAGAGAAAGCGAGAACGCTAAAATCTATCAGTAACCTACAGGAATTCCATGTTTTTGCCTCTGGAGGCCCTATTGGGGGTCCGCTTGGAGCCCTCGTGACTTCCTGGGCCGTCTTCAGGGCCTTTTGGGTCGTCCTGGGGGCCTCCTGGGCCGTGTTAGGGCCATCTTGGGCTGTCTTGGAGCCATCTTTGGCCATCTTGAGACCCTTCATAGTCGTCTCGAGGCCCTCCGCGACCCTCAAGATGCCCCCAAAGCCAATATCTCTGTTGCTCCTTAGGTTTTGGTAGGTTTGTGAGGCCCAGAAGGGTCCGCCACCTTGGGTCTACGGATGGGGCGTGACTCTGGGGAGTTGGGGGGTCAGGGCGTTGGGATAGAGTAGTATTAAGTAATTCAACATACTGTGGCATGTACCTTGTGTATGATTGGGCACACTGGATATGTTGCATTCGGGCCTTCGCGACCTCCCTCCGGCAACACGCTCCTGCTTCTTGAAGCCCTCGTAGGGCGTCTTGGGCGGCTTGGGGAGCGAACGGGCCGTTTTGAGCCATCTTGGGCATCTCGGGACCGACTCGGGGCACTCTTGGACCGTGTCGGGGGCCTCTTGAGGCCCCCGTGGCCCGTATTGGGACCCCCTTGGCTCCAAAAAGGACATGCGGGAACACGTGGGGAACCAGGGACGATTTTGGAATTTTGGGCCTGGGCCTTTTGATACTTCCTCATTGAAGGATCTGGGGACATGGGACTTCAACTCGTGCCTCAGGGCACGGTGGCCGCTACAGCTACATATACATATTTATACACATGCACATTTATAAATATAGATATATGTACACATACGTGTATTTTTACATACACATACATAGCTGTACACATACATACATACAACTACACATATCTACATTCATACATGCATGCACACATACAGGCATGCATATATGTATGCATGCATGCATGCGTGCATTCACACATACAAGCACATACATACATACATACATACGTACGTACACACATACATACATACATACACATACATACATACACATACACACATACACACATACACACATACATACGTACACACGTACATACATGCATACGTACGTACATACCTACATGCATATATCCATACATCCATCCATACATACATACATACATGCACACATACACGCTTCCACATACACCTACACACATACATACACACATACACATACACATACACATACACATACACATACACATACACACACATACACATACACATACACATACACATACACATACACATACACATACACATACACATACACACACATACACATACACATACACATACACATGCGCATACACATACACACACCTACACATACATATGCACAAACATACGTACATACATACATACACACATACACACATACATACACAAACACATACATACACACATACATACATGCGTGCATGCATGCATACATACATACATCCATACATACACATACATGCATATACATATACATATACATATACATGCATACATACACACATACATACATACATACACACGCATACACATACATACATACATACAAACATACATGCATACATACATACATACACATACATACACACACATACATACATACATACATGCATACATATATACATATATACATACATACATACATACATACATACATACATACATACATACATACATACATACATACATACACACATACACATACACACATACACACATACACACACATAACCACACTCATTCATTCATGCATGTGTAGAAACATATTAGCACACAACCTGGTATACACAGTCGTTCATGCATTTAACATGTGCAAAAGCACAGGTGTATATAGGTATGCATGTGCGTATGTACGTGGGAGTGAGGGACGGGCAGGATGCGAGGTGGATGGATGAGGGGATGACGTGGGTAGAAGAAGAAGGCAGAGGAAGAACAGGGGGGGAGTGGGAAGTTCAGGTGATGGGTGTCAACCACAAGGAGTACAAGAAGGACACCCTGCACTGATTCCTCGCATCTGCCTCTCTCCTTTGGCTAGTTCTCCTGTAGCGTTTCTCCCTTGCTTGGGTATACTCTTCCCATTTCTTCTCATTTGTTGGCTTGCCCCTCCTCTGTCTCTGAAGGGTATACAGAACATGCGCAGCGCATCAGTTTGTGCATCGCAGACGACATTGTCCTCGTCGCCAGCACGCTGAGGCAGACCAAGGCCACGCCGAAGGGCATAACAAGTGCCACGGCCGAAGCTTTCCTCGATTTGCACCCTGGTCAGGCGAAGATCCCGAGCAACACGACCTGGGGCACCAGCAGACCGAATGGAACTGAACATGATTACTGACGGCACGTGCATTGATGCGTTTCCTCGCAATGACAGCATACAAAATATTTTGACTGGTAGACAGGGGGGCCCTGTCCGACCTCGCGAAGTCGGATCAGTAACCGTACTCAGACTTCATAGGGGTATCGAACGTTCCGAGCTCACAGGCCGCCAACAGGAGGTTCGACAGCACAGTGTACACTACGATGCTTTATGATTCGGCAACACGGGTGCTAACACGCAACCGCCGTATCCATTTCGGTGCACCCCTCACACGTCGCGTGGCCCATAGGGAGCCCCGCCGAAGGCCCCCGAAGGCCCAAGTGGCAGGGTTCGCATGGCCCCGCCGCGCCATTTCGGCACACCCTTCACGCCCCGTGGGGAGCTCCGCCGACGGTCCCAGTGGCAGGGTTCGTATGGCACCGCCGTCTCCATTTCGACACACCCCTCACGCGCTTCGCGGCCCCATATGGAGCTCCGGGGAAGGCCGCAGTGGCAGGGTTCGCATAGCACCGCTGCCTCCATTTCGGCACATTCCTCACACGTTTCGCGGTCCCCATATGGAGCTCCGCCGAAGGCCCAAGTGGCAGGGTTCGCATGGCACCGCCGCCTCCATCTTCTGCACACCCTGGACGCGCTTCTTGGCCTCATAGGGAGCTCCGCCGAAGGCCCCAGTGGCAGGGTTCGCATAGCACCGCCGCCTCCATTTCGGCATACGCCTCACACGCTTCGTGGCCCCATAGGGAGCTCCGCCGAAGGCCCCAGCGGCAGGGTTCGCATGGCACCGCCGCCTCCATATCGGCACACCCCTCACACGTTTCGTGGCCCCATAGGGAGCTCCTCCGAAGATCCCAGCGGCAGGGTTCGCATGGCACCGCCGCCTTCATTTCGGCACACCCCTCACACTTTTCGTGGCCCCACTGGGAGCCCTGCCGAAGGCCCCGGCAGCACCGTTCGCATGGCCCCGCTGCCTCCATTTCGGCGCACCCCTTACACGCTTCGCGGCCCCATAGGGAGCTCCGCCGAAGGCTCCAGTGGCAGGGTTCGCATGGCACCGCAGCCTCCATTTTCGGCACACCCTTCACGCGTTTCGTGCCCCTCAGAGGGAGCTCCGCGGAAAGCGGTGCCCGCAACGAGGTACTAGCAATTGCGTATGGTAGGGTCCTTCGTCATTTTTTTTTTTTGTTTCTCTCTCTCTCTCTCTCCCTCTCTCCCACCTCCCTCTCTCTCTTTCTACATCTGTCGTCTCCGCCTGCCGCCTTGTTCAGTACCTGTCTACTCCCTTGATTGTTTCCGCGCAACGTTCAAGTCTCTGGTCTTTTTCCGCCACTCGAGTCGTGGCTCCGCTCTCCACGGCACTCTTGAGTTTTCATTCTCCATTCTCGACCGTCAAAGTTGGTTCCCTCTCCGAGCGGCCACTCCAGACTCTAGTCTCCGCCCCATCTCTCTCTCTCTCTCTTTCTAGCTCTCTCTGTCCCATATGTCTTTATGCTTAGGTTCCCACTTACCCGTGCCATGAGTACATTTCTCGGTTTTGGTGTTTCCCACCTCTTCATTTAGGCCGTTCACGCTCAGACCCGCTCACATTGTGACCACCCATACTCGGATTACTGACGTTCAGACCCGCTCACACTCCGACTTGCCCATAATCATACGGTAAATCATACGCAGGCTCGCCCACATTGAGTCACAGAAACTGAGGGTCACAAACATACTGGCTCGCATTCAGACCGCTTATAACCAGTCCCTCTCAGGATCGGACTCTCTGACACTCAGGCCCAGTCACTGTAAGACTCACTTATTCCCCAAGCAGTGCTTGCACTTATGGGGTTCTGATGCCTCTTCCAAGGAACCTGGTCGCTCAGTGTTCGCCGTCGCCGCCCCGTCGCCGCCTCGTCGCCTCCCGTCGTCTGGGCCTGGCTGGCAATCAGGCAGCTCCGTGCTCGCCGAAGCCGCCCCGTCTCCGCCTCGTCGCCGCCCGTCGGCTGGGCCTGGCTGGCGGTCAGGCGGTTCCGTGCTCACCGTCGCCGCCTCGTCGCCGCCCCGTCGCCGCCTAGACTCTCTTCTCTAAAAGAAAAATAGACTCTACCCCCCCAGGAGTTAACGGTACCGCCTGGGGTATTGTGATCACATTCGTCCGTCCTAAATATAAAATCATACCATCCCAGCCAGGCCGGTATCACTCCCCCCCGCCATCCTTCTGAGAAAAATACAACGCGCGCGCACTCGTCTATCACAATCACAAGTTTTCAATAATCCCTTGCAAAAACGAGATGAGGCGCACACGCGCGCGTCGTCGCGCGCGCACGCCGAAATCCTTCAAAAACCTTCGGTTTCGGAAGGATTTCAAAATCGAGTTTCCAAAACAACATACAACAGCACAGGGTTTCGCAACACTGATTCCCCCAAACAATTACGCGCGCGCTCTTGCGAAATCTGAAGAAAACCATTGGTTTTCCAATCATTTCAAAGAAACACAACCAAACGGGCTTCGCGCGTGCGCATGTCGAATTTTTTCGAACGCCCTTGCGCGCGTGCCGTCGCGGGAATCCTCCTTGCAAGAAATGTGACGAAATGCACGCGCACGCGTCGTTGCGCGCGCATGCCGGAATCCTTGAAAAACCCTCCGGTTTCGGAAGGGTTTCAAAATCGAGTTTCCAAAATAACATACAACAACACAGGGTTTCGCAACACTGATTCCCACAAACAGTTACGCGCGTGCTCTGGCGGAATCTGAAGAAAACCATCGGTTCTTCAATATTTCCAAGAAAAAAGCACAACCAAACGGGCTTCGCGCGTGCGCATGTCGAAATTTTTCGAACGCCCTTGCGCGCGTGCCGTCGCGAGAATCCTCCTTACAAGAAATGTGACGAAGTGCATGCGCACGCGTCGTTGCGCGCGCATTCCGAAATCCTTCAAAAACCCTCGGTTTCGGAAGGGTTTCGCAATCGAGTTTCCAAAACAACATACAAAAACACAGGGTTTTGCAACACGGATGTTCAACGAAAGCGTGCGCTCGCGCTCTTGCGTCGTCGTTGTCGTCGTCGTCGCCGTCCTCCCTCCTCCGTCGTCGTCGTCGTCGTCGTCGTCGTCGTCGTCGTCGTCGTCGTCGTCGTCGTCGTCGTCGTCGTCGTCCTCTGTTTCCTCGTCATCGTCGTCCTCTTTGGCGTCGTCGTCGTTTCCGTCGTCGTTGTCGCCGTGGTCGTCCTTCCTCTTCCCTCGACGTCGTCGTCTGTCGTCGGCGTCTCGTCGTCGTCCCTCCTATTTCGTCGCCGTCGTCGTCGTCGTCTTCCCTCCTCCCTCGTCGTTGTCGTCGTCGGCGTCGCCGTCCTCGCTTCTTCGTCGTTCGCGTCGTCGCCGTCCTCCCTCCTCCCTCGTCGTTGTTGTCGTTGTCGTCGTTGTCGTCGTTGTCGCCGTCGTCGTCCTCCCTCGTCGTCGTCGTCGTTGTCTTCGTTGGCGGAGTCGTCGTCGTCGTCGTCGTCGTCGTCGTCGTCGTCGTCGTCTTCGTCGTCGTCGTCGTCGTCTTCGTCGTCGTCGTAGTTGTCGGCGTCGTCGTCGTCGTCGTCGTCGGCGTTGTCATCGTCGTCGTCGGCGTCGTCGTCGTCGTCGTCGGTGTTGTCGTCATCGTCGTCGTCGTCGTCGTCGAAGTTGTTGGAGACGTCGTCGGTGTCGTCGTAGTCGGTGTCGGCGGCGTCGTCGTCGTTGTCGCTGTCGTCGTCGGGGTCGGTGTCGTTGCCAAGTGCCATTTGGTGCCAACCGTCACGGTCTTCCGAGGTCTTGCGACCAAGTTGCGGGTTGGAGGGTAGGATGTTTGCACGAGCAGTGGAGAGGACAGCTTCAAGACAGTCAAAGTGAATTCTCCTTTCTAAAAAGAGAGTAGACTTTACCCCCCCCCGGCGTTATCGCTACCCCTTTCGGGTATGTAAATCACATATGATTCTGACCACATGTCCATCCTAAATATGAAATCTCAATGTCCCAGGCCAGCCGGTATCCCCCCCTGAGGTTCCCTTGTAAAAAACATTATGCGGTGACATTTTTTGTTCTAACATAACACTTTTTCACGAATCCCTTGCAAAAAATATGACGAAGTGCACACGCGCGCGTCGTCGCGCGCGCATGCCGAAATCCTTCAAAAACCTTCGGTACCGGAAGGATTTCGCAATCGAGTTTCCAAAAAACATACAAAAAACACAGGGTTTCGTAACACAAATTTGCTAACAAATCTTACGCGCGCGCTCTTGCGAAATCTTAAGAAAACCATGGGTTTTTCAAGATTTTCGCAACATGCTACCAAACGGGCGTCGCGCGCGCATGTCGAAATCTGTCGAACGCCCTTGCGCGTGTGCCGTCGCGAGAATCCTCGGCAACAAATGGGACGAAGTGCAGACGCGCGCGTCGTCGCGCGCGTACGCCGAAATCGTTCAAAACCCATCGGTTTCGGAAGGATTTCAAAATCGCGCGTCCAAAAAACCTACAAAAACACAAGGTTTCGCAACACGGATTTTCAACAAAAGCGTGCGCGCGCGCGCTCTTGCGGCGTCGTCGTCGTCGTCGTCGTCGTCGTCGTCGTCGTCGCCGTCCTCCCTCCTCGCGCGTCGTCGTCGTCGTCGTCGCCTACGTCGTCCTGTGTCTTTCCTCGTGTTCGTCGTCGTCGTCCTCTTTGGCGTCGTGGTCGTTTCCGTCGTCGTTGTCGCCGTGGTCGTCCTTCCTCCTCCTCCCTCGTCGTCGTCGTCGTCCGTCGTCGGCGTCTCGTCGTCGTCCCTCCTATTTCGTCGCCGTCGTCGTCGTCGTTGTCGTCGTCGTCTCGTCGTCGTCTTCCCTCCTCCCTCGTCGTTGTCGTCGTCGGCGTCGCAGTCCTTCCTCCTTCTTCGTCGTTCGCGTCGTCGCCGTCCTCCCTCCTCTGTCGTCGTCGTTGTCGTCGTTGTCGTCGTTGTCGTCGTTGTCGCCGTCGTCGTCCTCCCTCCTCCCTCGTCGTCGTCTTCGTTGGCGACGTCGTCGTCTTCGTCGTCGTCGTCGGCGTCGGCGTCGTCGTCTTCGTCGTCGTCGACGTCGGCGTCGTCGTCGTCGCCGCCGTCGTCGTCGTCTTCGTCGTCGTCGTCGGCCGTCTTGCTTCTCCGGCCTTCTTGAGGCGCTCTTGAGACGCCCCCGAGGGCTCCAAGACGACCCCGGAGCGATATTTGTGCTCGGTCCCGCACGGGTTTTGCAAACCAAGTTGCGGGTGGGTGGATGGGATGATTGCGCGAGCAGTGGAGTTGACATTTTCAAGTTCGGCAAGTGAATTACACAACGTAGATTTTACCACACACATTATCATTTCCAGAAGAAATAAATTCGTTTTATCGCCCCCAGGAATTCCCAACCCTCCCTGGGACAATACGATGTTCGCATGATTCTGCCCCATCGTTTTTTTGTTTTCCAAAATATTAAGAACATGGGCGGATTCATAGCATCCCAACCAAACCCCGTACGGACCCTATCTTCCTCGTCATCCTCGTCAACTTATACTTTGCGCGCGCACTCGTTTAACAAGAACCTTCAGTTTCCAAAAACCTTGTGCGAACACATGAGACAAACTCCGCGCACGCGTCGTCGCGCGCGCATGCCAGAATCCTTCAGAGACCCTGGGCCCCGTACGGCTTCCACGGTCGAGTCTCCCGACACCATATCAAACCGCTGGTTTTGCAGCGTGCCTTTCCCCGAGAAGGCTGCGCGAGCGATCGTGCAAATTCTGCCGACCACCACCCAGTCTTCAACAGTTTCATCGAGGGCGACCGAGCGGGCCTCCCGCACGCGCATGCCGAACTCCTTCGAACGCCCTCGCGCGACTGCTGGTGGGGGGGGGGGGCACGATCCCTGCCAAGCAACACCGTGCGGGCCACTCGCGCCCGTCGGCCGCGCGCCCGTGTCGAACTCCGTCCAAAGCCCTCCTCACCGGCACGTGGACACCATCATCGTCATTGGCGGGATCACCATCGTGCGGGCAAAATTTATATCCCTATCTGGTGCGTCTTGTACGTCTTGTATTTTCTTGGAAGGGGCGCCACAAGGCCGAGGCGCACTGGATATGGATAAAAGCCGAGCCCCTAGGGTGCAAATTTATCCATATCCAGTGCGCCTCGTGTTTCTGGGGAAGGGAGCATGAAACTCCACACTGCAGTGGCTGTGGACAGAAATATTGCCCGCACATCGGCGCCGTCATTGCCCGTGTTGTCATCGCCATCATGATCACCGGCATCGCTACTATCGTCATCGTGTTTGCCGGTATCGGCGCCGCCATGATAGGGCGCCCGCCCGAGTAATCGATTCGTCCTGAAGTGCCCGCGTGACAGCGCGGCTTGCGAGTCGCGCTGGGAAGTCCCCAGCGGTCGGCGCCAACGCGGCCGCGTCGATCGCGCCAGTCTAGCTGGCCGCTCTGCGCGCGAGCCTGCGCGCGCTATAGCGCGACTGCAGCGACGCCAGCCAGAGCCAAGCAGTCATCGCAATCCCCGCCGCATTGTTTGGCAGACCAAGTTGTTGGTGGGTGGGTGGGGTTATTGTCCGGGCAATGAAGTTGGCAAGTCCAAGCTTTTCAACATTCATTGCATCACACAGAGTGCACATCGCATCACATAGACTGCACAACGAACGTTTATTGTACTACGCGGGTTTCACCACATCGAGTACCACGTAGATTGCACCGCCCAGATGGGTCCACATACATTACACGACCTACATGGCTAAACATACATCGTTTAGGGTCCGCGCTGGCTAACATATTCAGGCCCTCCCATACCCAAACCAATCACTGGTATCCGCCCATGCCCAACTTAGTCGTGCGCAGACTCGTGCACACAGGTCGCCCCCCACTCGTACACACCTTGCACTGCTCGCACCGAGAAGCACGCAGACTCAGACCGCTTGCGTTCAGCTCCAGCAGTGTCCGATTCTGTCACGTTTGGACTTGATCATCCATATTGTGACCCTCTTGGGGCTGGCGGGTGTCTCTTGCGACAGTCGGAACGGGGCGGGCTGTCATGGGATGTGAATGTGGCCTCTTAGGGGCTTCTGGGGGCGTCCGACGGCTCTTGTTGGGCCTGGTGGGGGGTGCCCCTCGAGGCCTCCGTGGGGGGTTCTCGGGCGCCTGCTGGCTGGCGGCCCCGGGGGTCCTGCTAGGGCGGATGGCGGGGGGTCATGAGACTTCCGCTCTCGCCCAGCGCGGCCCATGCTCTCTCCTCGCCGTTCGAGTAGGAGGAGGAGGAGGAGGAGGAGGAGGAGGAGGAGGAGGAGCAGGAGCAGGAGGAGGAGGAGGAGGAGGAGGAGGAGGAGGAGGAGGAGGAGGAGGAGGACTTCCGCTTCCGCTCTCACCTCGCCGCGCCGTCGGAGGTGAGGTCGCGCGCAGGCGCCTGCCGTCCTCCAGGTGGGGATGTGCACGTGAAGTCTCCACATCTAGCCTTTGTCGGGCGTGTCCCCCTACAGGGGGATTTTCGACGAAAAATAAACAATACCCCCAAAATACCCCAACAAGGTCAAACAATACTCAAACAATAGTGCCCAGACTATTTTTGGACTATTTTTTGATTATGTTTGAAGTTTTTTATTTTTTCGTCGAAAATCCCCCTGTAGGGGGACAGGCCCGACGTAAATCTAGCCGCGCTGGCACTGGGTGTTGCGTATGTTGCGGGAGGGACGGGAACGGGCGGGAACTGCTGGCTCTCTCGAGTTGGTCGGCTTGAGTCTGCTTCCGTATCCCTATCCCAACCTCCTCCTTGGCAGGCACGGCCGACAAGAAGACGGGTGGTCGCAGGACAATGAGTCGGCGTCACCCCAACATGCTAATACTATGTGTGCGTCGCCCCCAAAGGGGCGACGCGCGCGCCGAGAAATCTTCTAGTATCTGCTCTGTGGAGGACGCTTTCTAGTCGTACCGCTCGGGAAACGATATACAACAAGATGGTTGTATTACATGTTCGTGTCGGACGCACGCCTCCAAGGAGGACACGTCGTAATAGTATGTCCTTGTGCGTCCCAATGGGCTTGATGGAAGCTTGTGCGCGCCTTGCCCGTCATTTCCTCGCTCCCGTGTCGTCTCCCTCTCCTCCTTCGCGTCTTCGCGTCCCCCCCTCGTACCCGGCCAGGAGCACACGGTGGTATCGAACGCATCCTGCACCACCAACTGCCTCGCCCCGCTGGCAAAGGCGGCATCGGCATACGAGAGGAGGATGGAGGAGGACGAGGAGGATGGAGGAGGATGGAGGAGGAGGATGTAGGATGAGGAGGAGGAGGAGGATGTAGGAGGATGACGACGAGCATGAGGAGGAGCATGCTGGCAGAGAAGGGCGGACGGAATGAGACGGAACATAAGGAGGCTGATGCGTCGCCACTGTCGCCCTCGTCATCGTCGTGCCGTCATTTTGATTTTGCATACAAGTGTGTCGGTTCTTTCCTGCCCCTTGCCAATTCTTTCTTCGCTTTTCTTTTTTTGTCCACTGCTGTTTGCGAGGTGGCGGGGGGCCAAATGCAAGCGTGTCGACCGCCTGTAGTGCGGTCTTGGTGGTTGGGGTCCTCATCGCCAGGACGTCTTTTTTTCCGATCGGTAAACAGCTGCCCAGGGCCAGTCCTGCCTCCGTGAAAGCGCAGCATCGGGGGTGGTTCAACGATTTTTCACCATGGTTATACCATGGTGCTACCCTGGTTCAGCAGGACCTCCGTAGCTGCGACCCGCAGCCCATACTCAGGCCTTGGGCCATGCCGCTTGGGGAAGGATGGATACTGGGAACATGACGACGACGATTCTGATGATGCTGATGATGCAGATGATTATGATGATGCTGATGATGCTGAGTATGATGATGTTGATGATGCTGATGATGGTGGTGATGGTGCTGACGATTGTGATCATGATCATGATCATGATGATGATGATGCTGATGCTGATGATGATAATTCTGAACATGATGACGATGACGATGTCGATGATGATGATGGTGGTGACGATTCATATGATGCTGCTCATGATGATGCTGCTGATAAGGATGTAACTGATAATGCGGATGATGCTGACGACTGAGTTCATGATGATTTTGTTGTTGATGGTGATGACGAAGAAGCTGGTGCCAATGCTGATGATGATGATGATGATGATGAGGATGTCGACGATTTGGTTGGTGTTGATGATGACGAGGATGCTGCTGATGATGATAATGAGGCTGATGACGACGACGACGTCGATGATGATGATGCTGATGCTGTTGCTCCTGTTGCTGGTTATGATTGGGCTGCTGCTGATGATGCTGCTGATGATGCTGCTGATGACGAGGATGCCGATGCTGATGACGAGGACGACGACGATTCTGATAAATGTGATGATGCTGATTATTATGATAACGACGACGATGCTGAATAATATGATTATGCTGGTCATGATCATGATGTCGATGATCATGATGAGCATACTGACTATCTTGATTGTGATGAGCATGAATATGATGATGGTGATAGTGATGGTGGTGATGACGCTGATGCTGGCGACGACGACGACGATGATGATGATGATGATGATGATGATGAGGATTATGCTGATTATGATGATGTTCGATGATGCTCATGATTATAATGATACTGATGGTGATGGTGATGGTGATGGTGAAGGTGATGGTGATACTGATGCTGACGACGACGATGACGTCGACGATGAGGATTAATCATACTCATAATAATATCAAGATGATAACGACGAGGGGAGGGAATAGGACAGTGCAAACCCAAGACTCATGAACGATGTTTCGATACATCCTCCCTCCAAAATCTCTCCTTCATAGGCCCTCATTAATGTCCATTGAGGGAGTTGCCCTGTTGGAAGGCAACCGTCGCAAAATCTTGAATCGTGCCCAAGCAACGTTCCTGGGAGTCCAACGCCGCGAATCAACGTTAATGTTGCGTCCCGACGTCGCGAATCGTGCAAAAAACACCATTCCTGGGACCTCAAAACCGCGAATCCACGTGACGGTTGCGCCTTGACAGACCTACATCGTGCCAGAACGCCGTTTTTGGGACGTCCGCCATTAGAGTCTCTTGATCTGCTGTACACTCTGAAGACGAATGTGCGCGGCAAGGTGAGAGCTACATTTTGGAAATGAGCCGCCCCACATCCGTGAAACTCCTTGCAAACTTTTGAGACGAATGTGGGCGGCTCTGGCGAGAGCAAGATAATGAAAGGGAACCGCCCTTAATTTGTAAAACTCGTGCAAACTTTTGAGACGAATGTGCAGGGCGCTAAGGCGAGAGGCACATTTTTTTGAACGACCTGCTGCTGTAAATTTTCAGCTTACGGACCATCCATGGTTAGGAGGTATCAGGCGAAACGCCCGACCCGCCCTGCTAACACGTCTCAGGGTGCGACAGGAAGAGTTATTGTAATGGCCTCCGGCCAGTGCCGCCGATCCAGGGGGCTCCAGATTCGGTGATCTTCGCGGCTGTGCGGCCTCCTCCCTCCTCGATTCTTCCGGTCCCCTTTCTTCTCCCTAGTTCTCGTTATCTTCTGCCTCTCGCTGAGCGGTCCCGGGGGGGGGTCCGGGGAGGGTTCCGAGGGGAGGGTGCTGGGGGCGGCAGCGGCTAGATCTGAGGGGGGTCTTGGGGACCCCCCGAAACATCTCGGGGATGCGCAGATCATCATGAAAACGCCAGGTGGGGGGACCGCCCCCCCTCCCCCTCCCCCCCTTTCCCCGGCAGGGCCACCCCGGCGAACCCCCCCCCCCAAGCAGAATCTGGGGGGGGTTCCTGGGACCCCCCGAAAGATCTTGGGGAGGTGCGTGAAGAGAACGCCAGCTGGGGGACCGCCCCCCTCCCCCCCCCCTTCCCCCCTTCTGTGGCAGAGCCACCCCGCCGACCCCCCCCCCCCAAGCAGAGCCGAGGCTCTTGCTGAGGCTCGGAGCGGAAGCTCTTGCCTGGATCGGCGGATTTATCCAGCTGCCGGCGGCAAGGCCCGCCACCGTGCCAGTCCAGCATTCTGGGTGGCGACTGCTCGAGGGGGCGCGGGGGGCCGTCACGTGTAACACCTCTTGTCTGATGATTATGGTGCTGTTGCTGATGACGATGACGATGACGATGCCGCTGAGTATGATTATGATGCTGATGATGCGGATGATGATGGTGATGATGGTAATGCTGATGATGCTGGTGATGACGATGTTGACGACGACGATGAGATGATGATGATGATGATGATGATGATGATGATGATGATGATGATGATGATGATGCTGATGATGATGATGCTGATGATGATGATGATGATGATGATGAGGATGATGATGATGAAGTGATGATGATGATGATGATGATGATGATGGTGGTGGTGGTGGTGGTGGTTGATGATGATGATAAGATGATGTCTATGTTGATGGTGATGATGATGATGATGATGATGATGATGATGATGATGATCTTGACGATGATGAGGGTTACATCGGCCCAAATAAGGTTCCTTTAATTTCCATCACGACGCTCGTTAGCGGAAGCCGACGGAAGCAACACTAGGCGGAAAACGGCGGAAGGCCGTCGGAAGGTCTTCGGAAGACAGCGGAATCAAACAACGCCCCGACCGAACCCCCTACCCCCGTAGAAGCTGAGCAATGTAGTGTTCTGCCGTGGGCCGGGCGGCCTTTAGTCTTATAATTTCAGTGCAGTCATCCCACCCATTAAACATGAGGTAACCAAATGTCCTCGGTCGTTCACGGATCTCGCCATGCTGGGTTCGGCTCGAAGTAAGATGGGGTTCCGAATTTACTGCATTCTTGCCATGCCAGGGTCGTCTTGTGGTCATCTTGAGATCATACTTCGGTCATGCTTGGATCGCGCAGCCGTCGCGTGTTCATTCTGGGGCCACCTTGGGCGCGTGTGGATCCATCATGTTGCCGTCGGGTCATCTCGGCGTCACTCGTGGCACATGTGTTTGGTCATCTTCGAGTCGGCCCGAGACGGTCCAGAATCCACGGCGGGATTGTGTTGGGGTGGCGTCATCCCAGGGTCGTCTGGACGCTATCGTCTGTGGCCTCAGGCCCTCCTGGAACCATTTTGTGGCAAAGGGGGCACCTTGGGATCGCGCGCTTGCGAGCGCTGAGCACGCGTTCAACTCATCTCGCCGATGGGTGTACAGTATATATATATATATACATGTGTAAATGTATATTTATATTTCCTGTGGCGAGTTTCCAATGGAACTTCTGTTTGTGCCAAGTATGATCATGATCATGATGGTGACGATTCTGACGATGACGTTCTTGCTGTTGGCGTCGTCGTCGTCGTTGTTGTTGTCGTCGTCGTGGTTATTGTTGTTGTCGTCGTCGTCGTCGTTGTTGTGGTTGTTGTTGTTGTTGTTGTTGTTGTTATTGTTGTTGTTGCTGTTGTTGTTGTTGTTGTTGTTGCTGCTGTTGTTGTTGTTGTTGTTGTTGTGTTGTTGTTGTTGTGGTTGTTGTTGTTGTTGTTGAACAAAGCGGTCATGAAGGTCGCCCCCCCCCCCCCCAGCAACCCAGCAACCCAGCACCCCCCCCCTCCCGAACGGCCTTCGGCACCCCCCCCTGGGGGTGGGCTACGCCCCGCATGTAGCCCCCATCCACGGCGCATATCGGAAACATATAGGACACATCTAGAGAACAGTTCGGAAACATATAGGACACATATAGGAAACCTATAGAAACCCATATAATATATACATATATATATAGGACACATTTAGAAAGTATTTAACACACATATAGGAAATACGCAGGAAACAAATAGGAAGCCTATAGACAACCAGTTGAAAACATATAGGACACATGTATAACACCTATAGCACATATATAAGAAACGTTGGGAAACTCTATATAAACACAGATAGGAATCATATAGGAAACCTATAGAAAACATATAGGAAACATATAGAACACCTAAATAACTTTTATAAGACACGTTGGACAACTTATAGAAAACAGATAAGAATCATATAGGAAACCTATGGGAAACATATAGAACACCGATATAAACCATACAGGAAGCATATATGACACGTATAGGGATCCTATAGGATCCTGTAGGGATGCTAGAGTACCCTAAAGGATCCTATATGATCCTATAGGGATCCTATAGGGATCCTATAGTATCCTGTAGGATCCTATATGATCCTATAGGATCCTATAGGGATCCTATAGGGATCCTACGGGGATCCTACAGGGATCCTATAGATCCTACAGGATCCTATAGGGATCCTATAGGGATCCTATAGGGATCCTATGGGAATCCTATAGGGATCCTATAGGATCCTATAGGGATCCTATAGGGATCCTATAGGATCCTATAGGGATCCTATAGGGATCCTATAGTATCCTATAGGGATCCTATAGTATCCTATAGCATCCTGTAGGGATCCCTGTAGTATCCTATTGGGGTCCTATAGGTATCCTATAGGATCCCTATAGTATCCTATAGGGATCCTATAGGGATCCTATTGTATCCTATAGGGATCCTATAGGAATCCTATGGGGATCCTATTGTATCCTATAGGGATCCCATAGGGATCCTATAGGGATCCTATGGGAATCCTATAGGATCCTATAGTATCCTGTAGGGCCTCCGTTCCGGAGCCTCGCCGGAGCAAACGTCGGAACCTGCTTGGGGTTTCGTTGGGCGGACATAAGGAAAGGTTTTTTTTTTTTGTCGGGTTGCTGGGTTGCTGGGTTGCTGGGGGGGGGGGCTAGCAACGGCGACCTTGTCGTCCGCCTTGAGTACTAGGGTCGAGGCGGTCAGAGCGAGCGCGTCGGGACGCGTCTCTCATGACGGCCTTGACCTTGTTGTTGTTGTTGTTGTTGTTGTTGTTGTTGTTGTTGTTGTCGTGGTTGTTGTCGTGGTTGTTCTGTATTGTTGTTGTTGTGGTGGTTGTGGTGGTGGTTGTTGTTGTTGATGTGGTTGTTGAACTCTCATTCTTGAACAATAATTATTGTTGAATCCCCCCCACCGGTGCACATTGATTTTTGTTCGATTGAAGTGCCACCCCCGGGGCTCGCACCTTGTTTTTTCTCAAGGAAAGTCTTCCTGCTCAAACTGTGCCCCTGCCCCCCGGGCTACAACAACAACGGCTCCCGCCTGAGACTTCCTCGATTTTTACTCAGGACCCCCGCTCCCGCCTGAGACTTCCGCGCAATTTACTCAGGAAAGGCGCTCCCGTTTAAGACTTCCTCGCAATGTAATCAAGACCCCCGCTCCCGCCTGAGACTTCCGTGCAATTTACGTGGGAACGGCGCTCCCGCTTGAGACTTCTTCGGATTTTACTCAGGACCCCCGCCCCTGCCTGACATTTCCAAGCAATTGACTCAGGAACGGCGCTCCCGCCTGAGACTTCTCGCAATTTAGTGAGGACCCCCGCTCCCGCCTGAGACTTCCGTGCAATTTGCTCAGGAACGGCGCTCCCGCTTGAGACTTCCTCGCAACTTAGTCAGGGCCCCCGCTCCCGCCCGAGATTTCCTCACAATGTACTCAGGACTGCGCTCTCGCGTGCGACGTCCTCACAAATTATTCTGGAATTGCGTTTCGGCGCTCAGGAACCACGCACGCGCCAAGGACGCCTTCACAACGTGGTATCTTCCCTCTTCCTTCGTCCTTCCCCCTCCCCTTCCTCCCACTCTCCCTCGTTCTTCCCCTCCTCCTCTTGCAGGGCCCGCGCCAATTCCAATGGCGGGCAGAGAGATGTACGCCCCCGAAGGATTGTCCGCCCGTTCCGGTTTGCCCGTACGTCTAAGCCCGCCGGCCCCAGCAAAGAGAAATAATCCCCCCGAAAGGGGTGTGATCGAAGACGAAGAGGGCGGGTATCGAGGGTGTAGGGTATACGTGTTGAATGACTCGCGGGCAAGTAAGAGCGTACAGAGCGTACAGCCTTAAAATGTTGTTGTTGTTGTTGTTGTTGTTGTTGTTGTGTGGTTGTTGTTGCTGTTGTTGTTGTGCTGTTGTTGTTGTTGTTGTTGTTGTTGTTGTGCTGCTGCTGCTGCTGTTGTTGTTGTTGTTGTTGTTGTTGTTGTTGTTGTTGTTGTTGTGTTGTTGTTGTTGTTGTTGTTGTTGTTGTTGTTGTTGTTGTTGTTGTTGTTGAACATTATTTATTCTAAAGAATAATTATTGTTGGGCCCCCTGGTGCGCGCCCCCCCGCCGCGCCTAGGCCGCAGCTACATTTTCATCATTTTCGTGAGGAAGCCTCAGGAAAAGATGTGTCCAGATCCGGTTGTTTTGTTGATCCGCTTTCCCTTGCAAAAAACACTAAAAATGACATTTCTTGTTCTAATATAATCAAATTTCAAGAATCCCTTGCAAAAAATAAGGTAAAGTGGACATTCGCGCGCGCAAGACGAAATCCTTCCAAAACCTTAGTTTTCGTAGCGATTTTAACATAAAAACATCAAAAAACCAATGGTTTTTCAAAAAAAAAAATGTCGAAATTTCATCCCGCGCGCTCTTGCGGATTCGTAGGAAACCCAACACTTTTTAAACATTTCTGTCAAACGGGCTTTTGCGAGCAACTTTTTCGAACTTCTGCGACAACGGTTGCGCACCTGCCAGGGCCATCATCCCTGTCAAATAATACCATGCGGGACACATTCGTTTTTTCTTCGCGCGCGCACGCCGTCGTCGTCGGCCGCGGGGCCCTGAATAGTAGCCACGGTCGTCCGCATGCCACGAAGTGAAGTGTCCGAACGTCATAGGGCGGGAAGCTGGGTGTGGGTGGTGGCGAAGAATCGTATGGAAATTTGGTAGAGCTTGAACCGGCCCCCCCACAAAGTGGGGGTATTGCCCGCCTCCTGTGAAAACCCTGGCACTGGTGAGAACACTGAGCGTTCGGGTAAAGTGATTGTTGTTGTTGTTGTTGTTGCGGTTGTTGGTGTTGTTGTTGCTGCTTACGATGCCCGCATCTCCTCCCACCTCCTCCTCCCCTCCCCCCCCCTCCCCCTCCCCCTCCCCTCCCCCTCCTCTCCCCTCCCCTCCCCCCCCTCCTCTCATCCTCCCCCCTCCTCCTCCTCCTCCTGCTGCTCCTCTCTCGTCTTTCCCTCTTCTTCCTCTTCCTCGTCCTCCTCCTTCTTCTTTGACGACCTGCAGATGCGTGGCCGCCTCGCGAGGCGGCCGTCACGCCGCTGCCTGCCCCCCGCGCCGCCGAGCGGAGGTCGTCCACGACAGCTTTGGTATCGTTGAGGCGCCCTGCCTGCGTGGTTGGAGGGGAGAGTTCGGGGAGGGCGATAGGGGGGGGGACGAGACGGGAGCGGGGGGCTGGGGGGGCGGGGAGGGGGGGGGGGGGTAGGCTTGGGGAGGGCGGAGGGGGGGCTGGGGGAGAGGAGGGTGGGGGAACGGGGCTGGGGGCGGAGGGCGAGGAGGCGGGGGGGGGGCTCGGGGAGGGCGAGGAGGGGGGGCCGAGGGGGAGGAGGGGGGGGGGAGCGGGGATTGGGGGGGAGGGAGGAGGAGGCGGGGGGGGGCTCGGGGAGGGCGAGGACGGGGGGGCTGGGGGGGAGGAGGGGGGTAGCGGGGGCTGTGGAGAGGGGGGGGGGAGGCTCGGGGAGGGCGAAAGAGGGTGGCTCGGGCTCGCTCGCTCCACGCTAGTATGGGAGTTATCCGTACCCATCAACAACATGCCACTCTAATACTGAGCATGAAGAGAGAGAGAGAGAGAGAGAGAGAGAGAGAGAGAGAGAGAGAGAGAGAGAGAGAGAGAGAGAGAGAGAGAGAGAGAGAGAGAGAGAGAGAGAGAGAGAGAAAGAGAGAGAGAGAAAAAGAGAGAGAGAGAGAGAGAAAGAGAAGATGGCCTAATCGTACATGTCGATCATACGCCTCTCTCCCTGACCGCCCTGTCCCCGGGAGCGGTCTCCTGAAAACAACAGGTCTCGGGGGCACACTGCCCCACGCAGCGATCTGTGCGCGGCGGCGGGCCTCCCTCCTGAGGCGAGCCTGCGCACGGCTGGCCGCGATCCTGGCCAGCTGGTGGGAGGTGACGGGGGAGGGGAGCGTGCGGGGGAGGCGAAGGGGGAAGGGGGGAAGGGGAAGGTGGAGCCAGCAGCCAGCTTGCGGCCTGCCCCTCGGGGGATCCCAACGGGAGATCAATCACAGCCTGCTCTGACTCAGCCTCCTCGGGAGGCACTGCTCGAGACGTGAACTGGTGCTCTTCCGCTCGCACCTCTTCGGGCTCGGGCACTGAGTCAACATTCAAGAAACGGGACAGCTCTGGGTCAACTTTCCTGTCATCTGCTCTCGAAACGCCAGCGAGTCGGGAGCGGGGGTCGAATCCTCAGGGGCATCCTTCGCAAGCCGACCATAAAACGCAACGAGTGAATTTCTGACTTCCTTGAGGTCAGGACGATAGGCGACCTCAGAAAATTCGGAGAAAGGAGGCCCGGAGGACAGGAGGGACCTAGCAGAGTCAACAATACCCGACGCCAGAGCAAAACAAAGGCCAGCCGGGTATGTCTTCTTGGATGCAGTGAGAAATTGTCCCTGGCAGTCTTGACCAAGTAAAGTCTTATGGGCCCCTCTCCCACGGGAGCGCCGTCCAGAACCTGGGGTGTTTTTGAGGTGCCCTGGAAGTGCAGGTATCCTGATGGAGAGAATGGTCGTGGGTGCTCGTCCCACTTCCTCAGGGCGCACACGAGGATCCCGATGCTCGCACTGGTCAAACGTGGTACAGGCAGCGCAAGGCGCTGCACAGAGGGCCTGCAGAGGGCGCCAGCTGAAGGAGGTGTGGGCTTAGGGGCCCAATTGGGGGAGGCGGGGTCTTCGAGCCAGCCGCGAGTGCGGGCCCTCAGGCTGCGAATGAACTCTGAGCTGCTCGGACTGCTTCTGAGTCACCCATGGTGGGCCCCAACTGTAGCGGGAAGACCTTAAAGTGGGGGCCCCCTTTCGTGTCATCTGCAAGCTGACCATGCCTCGCATAGAGGACCCCCCCTGTGTTGATGACTCTGTGGCTCCTGATGTGGTCCGCCCGCTCCAAAAGCGTCGCCTCTCTGGTGAAGTCGTCTCCGATGGGATCGATGGCAATATCAACGCTGAGTACCACCAACTGAACTGTCGACTGCTGGATGGTAAGCTCTAATTGCCACTGAATGTCGCCAGCTTGGCGACGTCCACAGTAGAGGTTCAGCACGAAAACGGTAGGCCTAGAAATCTGAATCGGGACCTGAGCAGCAGTAAAACTAGTAGATTCTCCAGGGTTGAAGACATAAAATGGCACGTCCCTGGATTCCAGAACCGCCGCGGGCTCGTCCGAGATGACCTGGATATGCTCTTCGATTTTTTCCAACGGAACGGCATATTCGGATCCCCAGAGGACTCGTTGGGTATCTTGGGGGATAGTTTCCAGGCGAGCTGCTCTATAACATCTTCTCTGACCTGTCCCTGGATCTTTCTAGCTGGGAACTCCGCGTGCGCCATCGACCCTGGCCAGCATTGCGCTGAGCTTTCAGACGATCTGCTTCAGCCTCGTGCAAAATCTACGCCTCGGCAACGGTTCACTGCGGGGCGGATACAAGCATGCCGACGGCGCACTTGGCAGGCAGAGTCGAACGCGAGATGTGCCGTTAAAGCCGATCGCTGAGCAAATTGTTGGTAACATGTTTTGCACTGAAGCTCGGCCCCCGACATTTCCGGATGACATCCACCTTGGAGCGATGAACACGATTGATATGAGAGCGAAGCCCGCGGAACCTGGGAAACGTCATGCCACACCAGAAGCATTTGTGTATTTTGGCGTCCTCCCTGTCCTGGACTCGTAACCTGTGGCGTCCGTCATCACAAGCAAGAGAGACCCCCGCCGACTCGAGGATAACGACAATCTCGTCATCCGCTGTGCGTGCAAGAGTCTCTCTGACCAAAACGGGAGGGCGAGCCTGATACTATGTTCCCAAGAAGTGGCCGACTTGGCCGCCTCTCGTTCCCAGGCGTGTAAGTCGTTGGCGGGGTCTGGGTAATCCTGAAATCTGGCGGTGAAAAGCTGGAGCCATCTCAAGTCATCGATCAGCATGTGGCTCCACGATCTGGAGGTAACTTCCATGCATGCGTGAACTAGAGCCATGATGTAATGGGGGTCTAGATAGCAGTAGGCGGCCGCACAGGCGAAGCCGATGTGCAGAAAGTAGGGCAGAAACATGAGCGCCACCGACAGTAGCTAATACGAACTGGTGATTCACGTTTGTGTCGTCCTTTCGCGGAAGCCTAGCGATTACGCGATAGTATGTTCCCAAGCCATCTCGCAAACTCTTGTATCGTGCGTCCGTGAGGAAGCCCCACGTGTTGGAAGAAAATAACCTACCAGAGCATACCAGGGAGTCCAGGAATGTAAGCGCCGTGTACTGCTCGATCGCAGCATATTTGAATACCTTAGTCCTGAGAGCCTTCCAAGCCTCGGAGCCTCCTTGTAGCCTGTGAGCAAGCTCGGGCCCCACGGAGGCCGACATGTCGTGCTTGGTGCCCAGGAGTACAAACTTTTGAACCTCATGAACCGCAACCGTTCCCAGAGTAGTGGTGTACGCGCGTATCGTGTTGTGCATGTCCTGGACCAGGCGAAGCTTAGCTTTGCGTGACTTGGGGCCCCTGATTCGAAATAAGAACGCAGATATACCTGGCTCAATATTGACCCGGAGACCCATGAGCGGGAAGGCCTATATGACATTAGCCGCCACGCAAGGTGCTCGTGCAAATACAATATGTATCCGCTTGGCCAGAAAAAAAAGCGAACACTGCAATATTCGCTTGGACAGTCGATTCGAAATAAGAACGCAGATATTCTTGGCTCAATATTGACCTGGAGACCCATGAATGTGAAGGCCTATATGACATTAGCCGCCACGAAAGGTGCTTGTACAAAAATACAATATCCACTTGACCAGAAAAAAAAGGCGAACACTGCATTACCAGAAAAGGCTCTATCCATAGAGTGACACGTGCATATGGGCACACAAGCATCCGCTCAAGCACTCTCGTATAGGCCGCCTGCGAAGAAGCCTGCAGCACAGGCATACGCAAGCCAGCACCCAACGCCAGGAGGCCAGCTTGAGCTTTGGCCACCATTTTGGCCATGCCGAAGGAAGTTGTACATGATATCCCCGAGTTGTTGGCCAGGACCCGACCCAAGGAAAGGAAGCGCAACGCTGCTCCCGTCCCTGATTTCAAACCACGATTCCTCATACGCATCCGAAATCTGTAGGCCCGACACTCCAGTTAGTTCTAACACGACAGTCTGAATATGTTCGGCCAGCTTTTGCATATTATCCGGAGGGAACTTGCCGCGGAAGTCCTGAACACCAATTCCCGAATGGCCATTTAGAGACAGCATCGATCAATCATAACATAACCGTTTTATTATGTGCTGCTGGAAGCTGCTGGAAGACTGGGTTCCAGCGCCGAGTACTCCGTACCACGGCCAGCGAGCACTCCAAATTGACGAACACCTGTGATTCCTGGATGCGCGTGGACGACTCGAGCGCGGGTAAGAGCACGGAACCTTTTGCCAACCTGAGAGGACCCTGGGATGGAACTATTTTTTTTTATTTTGGAGGGCACCCTGGACTTGGAACAAATCCCAGTAACAACCTCCTTTCCACTGAATGGGCTCACATATTCTCACCGTGTTCTTAACGTGCAGGGGGTGAAACAACTTGCCGATCTGCACTGCGAACTGCTTCAGCACCGCGCTTGGGATGCAATCTGGGCCCGCTGCTGACTTCTTGGCCCCGAACGGCGCATGCTGTGTGGTGCGGAGGGATGGTGCGTCCTCTGTGGCAATGTCCATGTTGTGAGCAACAGACGCATCCAGGGAAGCCGTAGACTGTAGATACCAGTCTAAATCAGCACGGGGTAGAATAGGAGCGGCCTCTTCACCACCGAAGTGTTCCAGCCGCCGATTTGCTATCTCAGCGCGACCTGAGCGGCTGCTCGTCGGCGCCTAGTAGCATGGGTAGGGGCCTGGCGGACTGTTCGCGACGCGAGCAGGACCCCATGGCCCTTCAAATCTTTGCGAGACCAAGCCGACGAAACCTCCGAAGCAAGCATGGTAGCATGTTGCTCAGCATCCTGGTTAACATGAAGCGTCCCGATGCGAGTCATGTCCTCGAGCGCGATGGACCGAGCAGCGAGGCGTGGGCCTCGCATGCGAGTAACATAATTTCAACAAGCAGCAGAGCCGGTCAGCCCGTTTTGTCCTGGAAGAACCCA